TTGTACAGGGAATGTATTAAAATGGGAGATCTCAAGTTTCCAGTCCAACAATAAGAGCATCCAAGCACACATCCAATGATGAACAACTGTAAGGAATTCTCACCAGACAAGTGAGCTGCACTAAAAATAGCTGAGCTTATCAAAACTGCTGACTGCCATTTCATAGTGGACGAAATTGACGCTAATAAAAATCCCCTGTAAACAGTTTCTTCCAGCACGGGAGTGACAATGCAATATACAAGAACGCAAGCAGCTTTTGAGATGTTGCTGCTTACCAGGATTTCTTTGAGTACAGGGTTGTTTATAGCCTGCAATGATATGGTGTAAAATAAAATACTTGAAAGAGGAACAGAGTTTCCATAAAATTACTAAATCAATGATATATTTATTTAGAGAAATATAAATGAGCTGTAATAAGAACTTGAGAATTTGAAAAGGAAAAAACAATTTATAAGGAACTCTACAACAGCGAGAAAATGAGCCAACTTCTTTGGAAGTTTTTTCTACTTGCATTAAGGACTCAGATGATACACATTGTTGAAGCAACTGCTTAGAGTTATATTGCATTGGAAAACATGTAGATTGAAAAAGGTCAAGAAAGACGAAATAGAGACATACTAAATCAAGAAATCTTTTCTAAATTCAATGCAAGATTGATTTGGGATATTTCCAGTGAGTTAGATTAGGCTTTTATCCCCTTATTCATTTATTCTTGGGCCCTTTCAAAACATATTTTGCTTGTTGTCTGATGCAGTTGTGAGATCATTTTAACTTAGGTGGAAAATCCTTAATTCCAATTGTAAAAGCCTCTTCTACCAAGCACTATATGATTCTAAACTAGTTAAAATCAAATCACAGCCACTTACTCATAAATAGTGAAATCAAATTAAAATTAATATCAGAAACATTTTATCAAGCACCAAACAATTATATTAGCTACTGTATCATCACAGCAAACCGAGTCATCAGACCATGTAGTGGTCAGTTTGTTCAGTTTTGGCTAGTGAAACCATTGTGAGCCTAGAGTTAACAAGTCAATGAGAATCAGTCCCCTATACAGTTTCATCTCTCAAATTCTCTATGCACTATGAATCATGTGAAATGAAGGATACAACCTCCTTCCTACAACTCATCATTAATTACTATGAGATCTCATCCATCATCAGATTGGTTGTATTATTCTCAAAAACCATTTATTTACCATATTTGGATACCTTAATCATTGTACCTTCTATCATTTGTATAACATTATAGACGTATGCTCTAGGCAAAAGAAAAGTATAACGTACAGTTCTGAAAAATAAAGCAAGGGCATATATTGGCTTTCCTTTTGTTCAAATACTTAGCTTACCCAATTGTAGAAAAGGTACTTATCCCAGTTTCTTATTGCCTTTCTTTTTTTTGGATGAGAAAGTTCATGAAATATTATAACAAGAGCAGAAAACCATAAGCAGTTAAGTTTATCAAACGAACCTTGGGCCCAACAACACTATCAGCAAGGAAGGAAGTAAGGAAAACCAACATAAATAGAAACCCAAATCCTACAGCTGATGCCAACAGCCAGCTCCTCTCTTTTGATACTTTGTTAGCTTTAAAGAAGTCCACAAACTTATATTGTGGCTTAGCAGTGCTCTGCAGAAGAACTAGAGCTGCAATGAGCTCTAAAATTTGAGCTCCAAGCAATGATATTGCCTGCAATAACCAAAAAAGGAAACCAAGATCCGTTATAAGTGTGCAACTTTATTAATGTAAGGTTAAAGTTTGTTCAAATGCTAGACAGTCCATATATGAACTTGTTCAAATTAGGTATCAGTGCAGAACAGAATCCATGAAATCCCATTACTAAGAGAGTAATCTACTGAACTACAGATCTTATGGGTGTGGGAACAATGCTATACCATGGGATGCTAATTGTTGCTTGTTTCAAATTTCAATTGGTACTTCGAAGATGCCGATGAGATTCCTATCTCGGCATTACAGAACGATGTACGTTGGTAACCACTGTCACTTTTTTGAGTTTTGAATCCTAAGTTTGATGTAAAGAGAGGACTGGATGGGCTACTTGACTATAGGGTGGTTCATTAGCCTCAATAAGGCATATGCCAATCCATACACAAGGACAGAAGACAAAGAAATCCAATATTCAGCCCCGAAAAACGACACCTACATTTCAATGTTAATTGTTAAATGATGAAAAGGGAAGTAAGATTGCCCTTCTCGGTAAAGCATTTTGTGTAAGTATCCTCTCACATTTCCCATTCTTCCGAGAATCGAATGGTGTAAAAAGGCATTTTTGCGCCAGGTCGATCATACAAATTAAGAAACAAACTCACCTCTATCTGTGGATCAAGAATAGGTTCATGCAATACATGAGCAACCACAGACAACCCTCCAAAACTCAGAGGAATGTGCAAACTGAACATATAGAAAGCCATAGTGCTCCATAAACTTCCATGGTCCCATGGAGCATCTGCTGCCAAAACCGAGAATCCCTACAATTTAGAATCACAAAAAAGCCCATTTCATTTCATGCTTGGTTCAAGTACAAAAAAAGCCAAAGAACCCAAAAGAATATGGTTGACAGACCAGTTGTAACAATGAATTCCCCATTAACGCATAAAAATCCTCTGAGAAAATATCAGATATATAAAAAAGAGAAGTTCAACAAGAAAAATGAGCGGAGTTGAACCTGAGAAGAGGCTTCATGGGTGTTTTCAGTTTTGTGACAAAAGCACTTGAAAGAAACTTCGGAGCTTAAGCTGGATTTGGAATTGGTGCAACTGAGAAGAGTATGGGGAGATAGAAGGGAAATTAGTGGTTTCCTAAAATTTCCAATGGGTTTTTTGGGTGCAAGGGGTAGAGGATGCCACAGTTGCCACTGTAACTGTATCATTCTGTCCCGAAGCAATGGTTCTGCTCCTCCTCATGTCCCGCCGCTACCCAATCATCGATGGGTACCACCACAAGGTCTTAGGCCTAACAGGGTAATTTGCGCTAACGGTTCTTGTCCGTATCCGGCTTTTTTTTTTTAACTTTGAACAACTCGAAAACCGCACGAAAAATTAGTGGTTGAATATTAACACAATTAAAATTGCGGGTTAAATTTAGATCAACTCGTCATGATACGTTTATTAAACTAGTGGGTTTAGAAACAACACGCGAAATGACTTACTGGACATATTCACTATATAATTTTTATTAATAATAATAAATGGGTATTGATTTTCCCACTTCCTTTTTATCCACTTACACTCCATTTTTCTAAACAAAAAAAAGTGTATCTATATATATAAAGCAACAGGCAAAGAATGGTGAAACATTCAAAATACCTGAAAATACCTTGGTTAATGCAAACATTAATAATTGAAATTATTAATTAAATGAGGATAATATGGTAAATTCACACTTTTTCATGTTAAAAAAATTTAAAATTAAAAGAAAAATCAGATAATGGATCTTCTTTTTATGGAACACAACTAACCATTATCTTTTTTAATTCTAAAATAAATAAATAAATTTAAATAAATAAAAAAACCTCTCATAGGCACGGAAGTGCGTGCGGAGAGGCTAGTGTGGATAAAAGGAGAGTGAGAAAATTATTTACCTAATAAATATGTGGCATGTTCTATTCTATTCCATATAAGGTAGTGGATTTCAACTCACCCAAATGAAAGTTCTTAGCCTAAGTAGATATCCGTAGTCTAATTCTCATCTCTATTTCGAATTCAGCCTCTTCTTAAACATGTGACATATTTAATAATTTGCTAAACATGTTAGTAACATGTTTAACATGACTCAAACCCAACACAACATGTTTATTAAATGAGTTGGGTTTCAGTTGAGCATCTTGACACGACATGACCTATTGTCAGCCCTATTAGTCCAATAGTGAATTTAGTATAGGGGCATTTATCATTTGGTCCATATAAGAGGTCCATAATATTAAATAAGGATGTATTTTGTAACAATTAGATGATAATGACCTTATTGGTTTTTAAGATTGCCTTTGAAGTCTGATTGTGCTTCTCAGATGATGCCGAGGGAGATTTTCTTTTTACTTTTAGTACAGTACTAAAATGGTTCCTGTTTCTTTTGTAAAGGTTGGTACTATGTAGATGATCTTTTCAAGTGAACTGGAGTTACTATTTCTCCAACTTAAATGATCTCTTCATATGGACTTGTGTTTCTGCTATCGCTTCTATTATGGTTGATTTTAATCTTATTGGGAGATGATAGATTCTTTTTTATCTTATGCTTCCATCATATTCTTGATATTTTGAATATGTTCTTATGCTAAATTATTCAAGTATGACATGTCATTATCTTGTGCTTTCAGCCTATCTGCTTTGTCCCTATATTTGAAAAATATTCAAAAAAACAAAGGTATTTAAAAAAAAATACGTATATGTGTGAATAATATAAGTATTGTAGGTGAATTTACTAACCATGCTATAGAAATTCTTTTTTGATTAATTCAGTGTAGCATGAGAGAAGCACTCAATATATCGGTTTCTTCTTTTAATTTTAAGCAGAAACGCCGCGTTTTGAAGGCTTGAAAGCCTCGACTCTTTCACTTCATCGTTTTCCCATCCCGCCATTTTTCTGCAAAGACGCATTTCTCTCCTCCCTGACGCCAAAATCAATCCAACCTCAGACTCCTCTTGTATCTCTATCTCCTTTAAAAAAAGTTCAAACTTCACTCCTCAGCATCAGGTATGGATTTGTTAACTTTTTTTGTTTATTTTATTGAATGAATGTGCTTATTGGGCATTACAAAAATCTGGGTTTTTCTTTTGTTGAATGAGTTTGTACAAACTAGGGCTTTGCAGAAATTTTTCTGAAAAATCAGACCAAGAAAAGATACAGTAGAATTTGGTTATTTTATAGTTTTGTATGGATTTGTTAACTTTTTTTGTTTATTTTATTGAATGAATGTGCTTATTGGGCATTACAAAAATCTGGGTTTTTCTTTTGTTGAATGAGTTTGTACAAACTAGGGCTTTGCAGAAATTTGACTGATAAATCAGACCAATAAAAGATACAGTAGAATTTGGTTATTTTATAATTTTATTCAATTGATTGATGGGTTTTCGGGATTATTTTGTTGAATGGGTTTTAGATGAAATTTACTTAAGAACAACCTTGAAGCCAATTCGTTGAGTTGGCCATTTTCGTTTCTGTCTTTTGAACTTCTTTAATCAAATTTCTTGCTCTATTTTCTCCTAACCCTCCCCAGTATCACACGTGAAAGTTGAAATATTTTCTTCAGCCCCAATCAATTTTCAAGTTTTGTTTTTAACCCTGTTTCTTACAGCTTTTTTACGCGTGAGGGTTCGTTTCCAAATATTCTTCTTCCTCTAAGAATCACAGCTCACTCACCCCAGCTGACCCAGGTATTTCCTCTTCCCTTCTTTCAGTTTCTGATTTATTTCAAATTATGATTAGAGTTTATATAAGCTTCTAATTTAGGGTTTAATTTAAAGTTGAACATAGGTTTAAAGTTGGGGGTTTAATTTATGTTTTAAATAAGGAATTAATAAATAACATTTCTTACTTTTTATGTACTTGCTTCTGTATTTGTACATGGACATATGGAGTAAACTAAGGCAGGATTTCCAAAAACATACCTGCACACTTTTTTCTAGCCTGTTGGGGTTTGGACAGTTTGGCGATATGAAACATGAATTTTTTTTTTCTGTGAGTAAACTTTATATGGACAGTTTGATGCTCTGAGAAGCACCATCTTGGAATCTGTTATGCATGCATGCCCCCTTCTTAGAGTTGAACCAATTTCTTCTGCAAGGTTGGTTGAGATAGTTGCTTGAACAGCAAAAGTATCATGCATATTTCTCGTAACTTGAATATCTGGTGGATATTAAAACTTCCAAACTAATTCAAAACATTGTCTTCAGAAATCATGGTGTTTTTCTAACCTAAAAATAAAAATCTCTATTTTACATAGACGATATGAAAAACTGTTTTTGGCTTTTTCTGGAAGTGTTTTTGGAAATCCGCATTTTGAAATAACGAGAACCTCATACATTGTTTGTTTGTAAGGTTATAATAAACATTTTCTTAGGTTTGTGAACCACTTTTTATGGTTTTTGGAGGTGCTTCTCGAAAAGTGTTATTAGGTGAATAGGTAACAGATAGTGATAAGAGAATATTATCTCAGGATTATGCAAATTTTTATGTGTTTCTACTAACACTTTATAGGCACTAGCAACAATCCTAAGTTGACTTATTGGTGCTGTAGCGTCTGCGCAGGCAGCTGGGAGGACACATCAAAGTAATCCGATAAAGGTGGGCTCTCTGTCCTATATCTTTCTTCAGAATTTGTTGTCAACCGCATAGTTTTCAAGTAACCATATGGTCCAATAGACAGAAGACCAAAAAGAGAAAAAGATATGTCCAGGCCTTTCTAAACAAAGACAATTCTTACAACACAAAAGAGATGTACAAGAATGTTATATGTCCAATCTATAAACATTTCATACCCATTACATCACAAAGATCCAAGTCTGTACATACAGACTGCAAATACTTCCTTAATCTGGAAGGGGCAGTGGCAAGCCAGTTTGCTTCAATATTGCAAGCTTGTAGTGATCATTCTCTTATCCAACAAGGCAGACAAGTTCATGCACATGCTATTTGCAGTGGACTTGTAAAAAACAGCCTTGTTGGTACAAAGATTTTGGGTATGTATTTTCTCTGTGGGAGCATTGTGGATGCTAAGAACATCTTTTATCAGCTTGATTTGCAATATACTTTGCCTTGGAACTGGATGATTAGAGGGTTTACTATGATGGGTTACTTTGAGTTTGCCTTGCTGTTTTACTTTAAGATGTTGGGTTCTGGAATTTCACCTGACAAGTACACTTTTCCAAGTGTAATTAAAGCTTGTGGTGGTGTGAATAATGTAAGATTGGGTAAAGCAATCTATGATACCATCCAGTTTATGGGTTTTGGAGTGGATATATTTGTGGGTAGTTCTTTGATTCAATTGTATGTGGACAATGGTTGTATCCATGATGCATGGTGCTTGTTTGTTGAAATGCCTCACAAAGATTGTGTTTTATGGAATGTCATGCTTCATGGTTATGTTAAAAATGGAGAATCGAAGAATGCTGTTGGAATGTTCTTGGAAATGAGAAATAGTGAAATTAAGCCCAATGCAGTGACGTTCGCTTGCATTTTGTCTGTTTGTGCCTCAGAAGCTATGATTGGTTTTGGTACTCAGCTTCATGGGCTAATTGTTGCTTGTGGGTTGGAGTTGGATTCTCCAGTGGCCAATACATTGTTAGCAATGTATTCAAAATCCCAGTGCTTGTCTGAGGCCCGCAAATTGTTTGATATGATGCCACGAACTGATTTAGTGACATGGAACGGAATGATATCTGGGTATATACAAAATGGGTTTATGGTTGAGGCTTCACGCTTGTTTCAAGCTTGTTTCAAGCGATGATTTCTTCTAGTGTCAAACCGGACTCAATCACATTTGCAAGTTTTCTACCATCGGTTGCTGAACTGGCTAGCCTCAAGCAAGGTAAGGAAATTCACGGTTACATTGTAAGACACTGTGTGCCTTTGGATGTGTTCTTGAAAAGTGCATTGATTGATGTGTACTTCAAGTGCAGGAATGTGGATATGGCACGCAAAATTTTCAACCAAAGCACCAGAACTGATGTTGTCATGTGCACTGCTATGATTTCAGGGCTCGTTCTCAATGGGATGAATAATGATGCATTGGAAATTTTTAGATGGTTACTTAAAGAGAAAATGCGACCGAATTCTCTAACCTTGGCAAGTGTTTTACCAGCTTGTGCTGGTTTGGTTGCTCTGAAATTGGGAAAGGAATTGCATGGAAACATCCTCAAGCATGGGCTTGACGGAAGGCTTCATCTGGGAAGTGCGCTTACAGACATGTATGCAAAATCTGGAAGATTGGATCTTGCTCATCAAGTTTTTGAAAGAATGTTTGAAAGGGACACCATTTGTTGGAACTCAATGATAACAAGCTATTCCCAGAATGGCAAGCCAGAAGAGGCCATTGATATATTTCGTCAAATGGGGATGGCAGGTGCCAAGTATGACTGTGTAAGCATTTCAGCTGCTCTTTCTGCTTGTGCAAACTTACCGGCACTTCATTATGGGAAAGAGATTCATGGTTTCATGATTAGAAGTGCATTTAGCTCTGATCTGTTTGCTGAGAGTGCACTGATAGACGTGTATGCCAAATGTGGAAACTTAGTTCTTGCTCGCCGTGTGTTTGACATGATGGAAGAGAAGAATGAAGTTTCCTGGAACAGCATTATTTCTGCTTATGGGAGTCACGGTTGCCTTCAGGACTCTCTTGTTCTGTTTCATGAAATGTTGGGTAATGGGATCCTGCCTGATCATGTCACCTTTCTTGGTATATTATCTGCTTGTGGCCATGCAGGCCAAGTTGATGATGGAATTTCCTACTTCCGTTGCATGATTGAGGAATATGGGATCCCAGCTAGGTTGGAGCATTATGCTTGCATGGTAGATCTATTTGGGCGTGCTGGACGTTTAAGTGAAGCATTTGAAACAATAAAGAGCATGCCATTCTCCCCAGATTCTGGTGTCTGGGGAACATTGCTTGGAGCTTGTCGGGTCCATGGCAATGTTGAGCTTGCTGAAGAGGCATCAAGACATATTTTTGACATAGAACCACAAAATGCTGGGTATTATATACTACTCTCAAATATACATGCTGATGCTGGAAAATGGGGGAGTGTGCTTAAGGTTAGAAGTTTGATGAAGGAAAGAGGAGTTCAGAAGGTTCCTGGGTACAGTTGGATCGAGGTTAACAACAACACTCATATGTTTGTTGCAGCAGATGGAAGTCACCCACAGTCTGCTCAGATATATTCAATGCTCAAGAATCTTCTTCTTGAACTGAGAAAAGAAGGTTATAACCCTCAACCCTATCTTCCTACACATCCACAAACATCGGGGATGTAATTACTAGAAAGTTTCATTGTCTCCTCTAATCCTAGCAACTTCAGGATTAGGAATATGGTGCTGGCTCTGTGAATTATGGTAAGTCAGGGAATGAAAGGTTGTTAAACTATTCTATTTTACCAATTGCTAGATACATTTTTTATGTGCGTACTCGGATCTACAGTTGTCACCGGTAATGAATGAAGCTTAAAGTTTTTATCATCTGCTTTATTGCATTGGTTGGAAGCACAACAGTGAAAGTTAGATGAATCAAAAGTTCTTCCTATACAAAACTCTGAAGCTAGATGTGCTTGGGTGAGAATAAACAAATATCAGTTCTTATCAACAAAGAAGTAAACTAAGATCGCTGGCCTCTTAATTTGTCTGTTGCCCCTCTCATTTTATACTTTATAAAAGGATAATCTTTCCTTGATAGGTACACATTTGATTTCTTGCTTCAGTGCATTATGTAGGATAGAGATACTAGTGCATCAAAAAAAATTTATTTTTATTTTCTGGCCAGGGAACATGAAACGAATTTTTGTGAAACTGTATGCTGTTTTGTTTTTCCTTTCTTGACATTTTAATTAGAGTTTTAGGGAGAAAAAAGCTATAATCATTTTCAAAACTGATCAAGTGTGTAATTATACATAGCTAACTTAAAGTGTGTAATTAAGACATTAATCCTTTTTTTTTTCTTCTTTGAATCATGCCATAGAACCAGATTAATTTTTGGAAATCATTGGAACTGATCAAGTTGGGCTTGATCTGCTTAGGTTTCCAAGCCCTAAGTTTATTTATTTTAGTTAATTTTAATTTTATATTGTGGTCAGTCTTATCATATACCCATTTTTCTTGGTAGTTACAGTTGTTCCAGCTTGGGCATATGTATTATATTTATTCCTATGGCTTAGGTAAGAAATAATTGCAAGATTGTAGCTTTTGGTCTGAAAATTACTATGTTAATTTTTAGGCAGATAAGTCTCTGAGGTTTGAACCCTTTGCTCTCTTTCATTTTAGCGTCTTCAGCTATAGAATTAGAGCTTCAAGTAGGTTTCTGTATTTTGTTAACCCTTCCTTTTGCGTTATGTGAGAATCTCTGGAAGTGGTCATTGTTTTGGGGAGTGGAAAGATTGGTTTGTTTTGCAGGAGAGGAGGCAAATATGTGGTCAAAAATTTATTGAAGGATTGTACTGGAGAATCCATTTGCTGTTGTGGGTACTGAGATGAGCGTTCGACACATGATCTATATTGTTGCCGAGGGATTTTTGGAAGTGCACAGAAGGGAAAGCTTCCTAATATAGTTTAAGAATGTACGTTTACGTTTGCAGTTTTCTGTTTAAGACATAGCTTTAAAGGCTTTTGATATGTAAGAAGCTTGAAAGGTTTTGACTTATCCATACAACCTAGTATGAATTGATAGTTCTAGTGACTGAAAGAAATTTTACATCTGTTTTGCCACTTACGGATATTTGTTTTAATTTATTAGAAAATAAAAATTCATATTTAGTAGCTTATTCTGTTTTGATATATGCTGCAAGAAATGAGGGGAATGTATAACTGGGGATTATCACGTCAATGCATTGATCACAGAATCACCTCAACATAATTCATTAGAAGCTTTATGGATTCTCGAATATCCAATTACCGCAGATCCAATCCAATGATGTGGTATTTCTTTTGTTGTGTTTCATTCTACTAAGTATAGATGTGCACGAATAAGCTTTCAATTTTTTCTGATGTGCGACTCTGAAACCTATGTATCATGACCGTCCTTCAAAGAACTTGAAGTGACACAATCCAGACATTGTATGGTACGTTGTTGAATGGACATGTTAAACAGCATTTCATGGCATTCTGTAGGGGTGCAATTGAAATAGCAATAAGAATCTGCTAGTTATTATGTGAACTGTTGTTGCTTTTTAACAGAAACAACCGAGTATAAGTCACTATTATCTGATTGTGACATGATCACGTCTTATATGCTTCATAGCCAATTCTTGCACCGCATCCATACTTGATATGTTGATGGATGAACTTCATGGTATTTAGTTTAGAGACTGCATCAAGGTGTTTTCTTGAACATAGTCTTCACATGAACCTCTTGCACTCTATACATTATGGAATTGACATGCTACTCCAGAATTTTCTTTTCCTCTTACATCCTGATTCAGTTCTTTGCCTTTGTCATGGCAAAGAGAGAAAATCAATATGTTCCTTATTTGGAAGATATATATGAAGACAAGGGTCAGAAAAGATCAGAGTGAGGTGGTTTCACCATAATCAGGAAGTCACGGGGGTAATCTCTCTACAAAATCCTCACCTAAAGGAGTTCTCTTCATGCCGTATTTGCAAATATTAGGGCAGAATGTGATGACGATCCTGCGACTGTCTTAACTTGTGTACATTATGAAAATTCCAGAGGTATGCTCAACCACTTATACTATCTTTTTTTGTATTATGGGTTGAATTCTAAGTCTTGGTGTATGTTAACGGCATGTCTGATTTATTAGGTACTTTAGATTTTGGGTAAGTTATACAGATACAACATCTACATTAAGTGCTTTTCCTCAATTTGAAATACAATCTATCCTGTTAACTTATGTTCGAACTTAAGTTGCATGTATGATCTCTCTTACTGATAACATGTTACTCTTAAGTATCTCCTTTTGATCTTTGAATTTGAGAACACTTTTGAGTTGACCTTCATTCTTTTCTGATGCTGTGTCATGAAAATTACCCGTTTCGTTGACTCCCATCTTATGCCCTTGCTGATCTGACATTATCCTGGATTCCTGATGTATAGGATTTAAACCTTTTTGATAGTCAGTTTTTGTATAATCTCGTGTTCTTACTTTAGGTTTATGGTTTAGAAAGATAGTCCTATTTTTGGATGTAACGGGCTTATTTTTAGAGAGAGATGGAGCAGCTTATGTACTGTGATTTTCTTCATTTTCTTCTGTGCACATGGGCTAGAGTGCTGACCACATAAGCTATTGTGTTCTCTTGAGGTATTGTTTTGGGTTCTCTTGATTTCCTTTGGCTTCTGAACTGTATTTTGGATGCCAATGATGGCTTTTCTTTCCAGCTTGAAGGAATGGATCACAGATTTCAAAATCCATTTCTGTCCTGAAATGTTTTCATACATGGATTTGTTGTCTTATATGGAATGGTTTCTAATTCAGTTATAAAATTTGAACATTATTTGACCACTTATTGTGACATATTCTAATAGAAGTCTAACAGAACTGTCCCATTCCCTTTCCATGAGGGTTGGTTTATCGTTTTTGGTTGATATGATATGATAAAATGAGGTTCTATTCTCTCTCTCACACTCTCTTCCTGTCCTTTTCTATGCTTTCTCTCACCCTCTCTCCCTCTCCTTGGTGCTCTTTGTCTCATCCATCTCCAGATCTGGTCAGATCTTGAGATTTGGAGATGGATTACTATTTGGCTAATGGTTAAGCTGACCTGGAATTACTGTTAGGTTGTTAAAACGACTCACATGTTTAGTCTGGTAGATCAGTTAGACTGTTTTGCTGTAAGTGTAACTTTACTGTGTAAAACGAATTATTCAGAAATAAGAGTTATAGAAAATTTAGATTTGGTTTCTCTATTTTCTCTCAAAATTCTCATGAAACTTCTTTATTCTATACCTTCAACCTCTGTTAGCATGGTATAAGAGCCCTGCGTGGCTCGTGCCTTTCGATCGTAATCCTTTTCTTGCTTCCTCTGCTATGTTTTCTCTCTATCTTCTCTTCGATTCTCCCTGTTCTATCCTAGTTTCCTCTCTTCGATCCTAATCCTTTTCTTGCTTCCTCTGCTCTGTTCTCTCTCTATCTTCTCTTCGATTCTCCCTGTTCTTCTCTCAAAATTCATCAATGGCGATCTCTTCTCTCAAAATTGACTGACTTCTCGGCATGGTGACTTTACGGCTTCGGGAGGATAACTTCTTGAAATGGAGATATCAGATTGAATCTGTTCTCGAAGGTCATGATCTCTTCGGCTACTTTGATGGATTTGTTGTTCCTCCCAAATTTGCGATATTGGATGAAGAAAGAGTGATCAGTGCATATTTATATATCATTTTGTACCCTTCTAACTTATGATTTGATTATGTTTTTGAGTTAAACTTGTGGTTTTAATAAATTTTGTGTTTGTTTCAGTGTAATAAGCTTGAGACTCATTAAATGCATTTTGGAGACAAGTTAGCTCATTTGTGTGTGCAAATCTGTCAACTTCACGGATTGGACCTTGCTCAGGATGAACCAGATGATGAGCCCTATATCATTGGAAAGATGCAGAAGTCTAGTTTCTGGAGCATTTTACTGGGCTGCATATGCTTGGAAAGATAATTCAAAGGGTTTGAAGATCCAGATTTTTCCAGATTTTTTAGGAGGGAAGATCAAGCCCAAAAAGAAAGGAAAGAAAAGATATGAAGTCAATTCCAGTCTATTTTCAGAAGTCAACTTGCAAGGCCCAAAACGTACACTTGTGCTGCTCAGATGGGATTGCATTCTTCTGCACCAGGCTTGGTGTAGGAAGGCCTGAGGTTTCAATATGTATCCAATGGGGCTCAAATTTGGATATGTCATAATAGACATCCATTGGAACAACGTTTATGAAGAATGCAATCTTATCTGAGCAGTACAAGTGTACGTTTTGGGCCTTGTAAGTTGACTTCCGAAAATAGACTAGAATTGACTTCATATATTTTCTTTCCTTTCTTTTTGGGCTTGATCTTCCCTCCTACAAAATCTGGAAAAATCTGGATCTTCAAACCCTTTGAATTATCTTTCCAAGCATATGCAGCCCAACTCAAGAAAAAATCGGAAAGACCTTCAAATGTCATTTTTGGCCCAGTAACGCAGATGCTGCTGAATTTGACCTTAAGCTGCTAAAACTTGCATAACTTCCTCTAGGAGACTCGGAATCATGAACCATAAAATGCTCTAGAAACTAGACTTCTGCATCTTTCCAATGATATAGGGCTCATCATCTGGTTCATCCTGAGCAAGTACAGTCCAATCCGTGAAGTTGACAAATTTGCACACACAAATGAGCTAACTTGTCTCCAAAATGCATTTAATGAGTCTCAAGCTTATTACACTGAAACAAACACAAAATTTATTAAAACCACAAGTTTAACTCAAAAACATAATCAAATCATAAGTTAGAAGGGTACAAAATAATATATAAATATGCACCGATCAAGGAATTACTGTAGCTTATAAGGATTGGCTCAAAATCGAAAAGGCGTTACTCAGTTTTTTGATCGCTGCACTCTCCAACGATGCTATTGAATATGTCATCGGTAGTAAAACGTCTCGTGACGCTTGGTTGAGCCTCACAGATTGCTACACCACAGTTTCTAGGGCTTGGGTCAATCATCTCAAGACTGAGTTCCAAACAATTCAGAAAGGTGGAGATTCTATTGAGCAATTTCTTCTTCATCTGAAACACATCAAGGATCAGTTGGCCCTTGCGGGTGTTTTGATCTCCGAGGATGACCTCATGCTCGCCGCTCTTAATGGATTACCGACGGAGTATGCTATGATCAAGACTGTGCTTCTTGCTTGGGAGAACTCGATTTCTTTCAAAGAGTTTCGTACTCATCTTCTCGCTGCAGAACAAGCTGCTGAGACTCAAATGTCATCTCTTCAAACTCCAATGGTTGCTATGATTGGCCATGGTTCTTCTACTCCTCGCACCTCTCGTGATGGTCTCCTTCCTATTCCTTCTGCTTCGGTTAACACACCTACTGGTTTTCATGTTCACTCTCGACCTTTTGGCTCTTTCGGAAGAGGCAATTTCTCTGGCAATCGATCTTTTACTCGTGACGGGTTTTCTGGTAATTGGCCATTTTCTAATGGTTTTTCTGGTCATCGATCTTCCTCTGGTGTTGTTCCTGAGGGCCAAATTTGCCAAAAATGGGGCCACACTGCTGTTAATTGTTATCATAGGAATTCATCTCCTCAAAATTCTGCTTCTGCTTCTGTGATTGAGTGCCACATTTGTGGGAAACGTGGCCATGGAGCTTTGGATTGCTTCCATAGGTCCAACTATGTGTATCAAGGCTCATCTCCCCCTGCTTCATTGACTGCCATGACTGCCCAAGGTTCTTTTTCAAATGATTCTGTGTGGATTGCAGACAGTGGAGCTAGTCATCACATGGTGTCTAATCTCAATCCTCTAGATTCTGCTTCTCCATGCACCACAACAGATCGCGTTACGGTTGGAAATGGA